GCTCTTCCCTAGCCGTGGCTTGGAAAGGTGATTTGCAAGCATTCAAACCATCTCTTTTGCTTTTATAAGTCAGCGTAGCCCTATTGAAGTGAACCTAAGTTGATTTGACCAAGGGACGAGTCGGGCCTCCAGCTCTTTGTTGTGGATGGAGGATGTGATGTTTGCAAATTTATTTCAGAAAGGCAGTGGGTTTTCTCTGCAGATTGAAAAGTACAGTACAGTGAGAAGTAAACTGATCCCATGTTGTTTTTAAGTCACCGGAGATTGGCAGGGAATAGATGTTCTCTGTAGCATGATACAGGAGCAGTCTGGTAAAGCATTTGGATATTTGTCAGTTACTTTTTATAAAGCAGGATGAGAGAGTGTGTGTGTGTGTACTTTTAAACGATGGAGGCTCATGTAGGTTGTAGCTAATTAAACAGTGGAAACTGGGTGTGTAGCTGTGAACAGCATTAGAGGACATAAGTGGGACTATTCACATCAAACTCTGTGCTAGAGTTAGTTGATGCATCTATCTGTAGGATCGTTTTTCACTTTCTTACCATTTATTTATTTGGGCTGGAAATTTCCACGCAAAGTGCCTGTTCCAGGTTGCTGCTTTTGATTTTTTTTTTTTTTGTGTTCCTGTGGACAACACAATTGTGTCTCTTTTCCAGTGCACAACCTAGTCTAGGTGCTGAGTGAAACAGAGCTCCAATGGGAATGAACATATAATGAAAGACCATACTCTAATGCCTTTGTAGGAAGGTGTTATATTAAGCTTGCATAGGCAGCCTTCCCTCTGGCTTTTTGTGACTTTTTAGGTGCTTAATCTCATAAATATCCTTTTAGAGTGCATATGAGATTCAGGAATGAGGTGAACTGCGGATAAGAATGTAAACATGAGCAAAAGCCTGAGCTCAGGTATGTGCTTACCACTGCATCAAAGCCTGTACAACAGCATAAGCGTATTTAGAGAGAAACCCCATCGCGTATAAGTGTTCCCAGTCAGGAGGCATTAAACAGTAAAAACAACGGTACGCTCTTTATTCCCCAGAACAGTCTGTTTCTAAACAGTATCATTTTCATACTGTTTTTATGAGAAAACTGTTAGAACCAGATAAATAGATCGCTGTGTTTATACTTGTTTGTAACAGATGATAGATCTATCATCTATTGTGAGTGGCCTGCTGTGGTGTCACTGGAGCCGCAGGGTCAGATCTGTGAAGCAGGGCAGGTTACAGGGAGCAGGGGCATCCAGGGCGCTCGAGCAGTGGTGTCACAGCCCTGCCATCCTGCCGGGCTCCCGAAGAGGCTCTGCTAGCAGCGCCCATCGCAAAGCACGTGCCCTCTCCCAACTGTCATGCCTCTCTTTCCTTTTGTGACTCGCAGCTGAACATGATGGTGCAAACTAAATTAGCCTGATTTAATTTGCACTCAACTCAGTGGGGGATGTTATAAACACTGATTTACTGTGTGTGGGAGCAGCACTGGAAGAACCGAAAAGGTTGATTGAGAGAGTGTAGGTCTTGCTTTTTCAATGCACTCTGAAAAAGATGGTCCCTGGCACCCATGAGGATGGCTGGGGGGTCTGCGTGGGTGCAGAGCGTTCGCAGCAGGACTCTGTTGGACACGATGGGATGAAAATCTGTCAGTCCCAACTGAGTTTGTTGCACAATGTGTGTAATCAGCTGAGCAAGAATCATTTAAGGCTAGAAGTATGCTGGACATTGCACGTGGCCTGCGGCAGAGCTAAACTGGTGCAGGACACCCAGTTTCAAATTGCAGTTCATTTTAATGTTGTATACATTGTTTTTTATATCAGATTTTACTTATTTCATACCTCTTTAATGCAGAGGAATGTAATTGCAGGGAGATTATTCTGCTATTGATTACTTGATCCAGGAAAGAAACAGAATTCATCCATGCCGTGAATCACTAAGCATTTGCAGCAATAAACTTTATTGAGCCATGTGACTTGCTGTTACAGAATTGTAAAGAACGCTTTACTGGAATGATTATACCAAACCGTGTACAATTCAAACTGAACTATCTGGCTCACAATAAAATGTTTTTGGCAAGGGCACCTGCTCGGACACTGTGAGGCTTTTATATTGCTAACAGAATAACGTTTTCTGGGCAATTCTGAAGATATATTACTCCTCATTTACAATGTGCATTGTGGAAAAAATGGTCTAAAAGGCTGCTGCAGGATGCATTCATTTGTAACCACAGCGTTTATAGAGATGCTGAGCTTTGCAGTGGGTGGTGTTGCTCTAGCAGAAATGAAAGTAAAGCGGGGCTGTGGCTTAGGACTGGTATTGTTAATAAGGGTCCTTTTTGGAAAAGGCAGGTGCAAATAAGAAGAATAGCAAATAATGGCTGGAGTGCGAAGAGGAGCTGGATGATGAGGTATACTGGAACAGTAAGACTGAGATGAAATTGAAAGGAACTAATCAACGCTTTGCAAACAAAATATTCAGCTAGAGCTTATTGCCACAAGATACACGTGCACAACTGGAAGTATTTCATGTTTCCTGGATATAGTTGGTGCACATGTTTTAGTGTGCAGTCGGGGTAGAGCAGGTACCTGTGAGCCTCGCTGCGTGCATTCTGCATGGTGAGGGCTTCTAGCCAGATGGCAACAGGACAGGCTCTACTCTCAAGCCCAACAGGCTTCAAAAAGGGGTTAAGACTTACAGCAACAATAAGCATGGCTGGAGCGGTCGTGGCCTCAGTGAAGAGCTGTGGGCAGAGACCTGACATCTGGCTTCAGGCCAAAGGCAAAGAGCTGCCCTCTGGGGACAAATTACCCCAAGGCAAATCAGCCCAAGATGATGGGGCTTTTGCCCTTGGACAGCTAGGGAGGACCGCCTTTGGAGAGACACCAAGCTGGGCCAGGTTGGAGGTCTGAGTATTTCTGCCTATCTGTGTATTTATTTCTGGGCAAGCAATTGAAATTTGAAGGTCTACGTGCTGTTGAGACGCTGCGATGTAGTTCTCTGTCTGAGGTCACATCTCTCCTTTTCACCAATTTTACAGTGGAGCCAACAAGACTCCTGCCTTACCGAAAAACGTGTTAGAGTCCTTTGCTGGGAGGTATTATATTCATGTAAGTGGCTACTGCGCAAACCACCATTGTGGCTGGCCAAGCTGTGCCAGTGGACTTTGACCATACCACAAGATGCTCTGTGTAGTGTGAATAATGTTGCTTTGTTTTTAATTATTAAGCGGTACATGTAGTCCTGACTTCATGACCCACAAAAGGGACTTCTAAAGGGCAAGTTGTCATTGCACCGGAGCCATAAAAAGGAGGACTTTGAAGCTTTTGGAAGCAAAAACCTGGTTCCCAGGGCAGGCAGTGCCCAAAGGCTGGCAGTGGAGCAGAGCAGGTGCGAGGTGTCCCAGCAGCGCAGACCTTTGCACAGGGCAGTGATGGGAATGAAGAGACAATGTGGGAAGAGGGGGTCAAAGCCACTGCCAAATCCAAGTGTCCACCAGTCCTCGCTCACCCCCTCTCTAGTCTAGACTCAATTAAAACAATGGGATTTTGAAATTTGCAAACCTTAAGTCTTTTTTTTATTTCCTTTGTGAGATTTTCAGGCCAATGTTTCAAGCTTTCTGCCCAAACACGGAGGGCTGAGAGACTTTTCTCCCAATGTTAGTCCTGCCAGACACTGGCTGAATGCAACCCTGTGATCCAAGTGGAAGAGGGGTGAAAAGCTGGAGTTTCCCACAGGTGTGATGTTTACATTCAGATTCATAAAACTTAAGGGCAAAAAATCCCCTTTGTTACCATTTACAGTGCCACAGTGCTGAGGGGAGGAAGACCTAGCTGCTGTGTGACCTGGAGAGCAGGACTTGTTGTCTACTTAGAAAAAGAAGTGCTTCTGTAGTGCCTGGCGGGGTGATCAGTCTGTGCTCAGCCTGGGGCTCTGCAGTCAAGACTTGATCTGAACCTCAGCCTCCCGAAGCCCAGCCCACCAGCTCCTCTTCCCCGTGCGTACCAGAGCATTGCTGCTGTATAATCCCCGTACTGCTGTGAGCCAGGTTTTTCCCTTAAGCAACACTTTTTTTTTTTTCTCACTGGCACCCAGGAGCTCAAGTTATGATCCCGTCCCAAGCTTTGCAGCTTGGCAAGAAGCCAGCGATTGCTGGGCAGCTCTTCTGCACTTCGTTATCTGCGGACGCGCCCCCGCGCACCCCATGTCACCTTCCTCAAAAATAGTTGCAATAGTGTGCTGAAAGAGAAGGGAAAAAGAAGACCTTCAGTTTTTTTCTCTCCTGCTCAGGGAGCAGCTCCTTGCCGAATGAAATGCTAACGAGCGCCTTTGCCTTTCCTTCCTGCTCTGTCTTACACTGGATTAGACCTGAAAAGCAGTATCACCAAGCTTGAAGTTCAATTTATCAGTGCAGTCAGGATTGATTTGTTACACTACCTGTTCTGGGGAAATTAATGTCTCCATTGCGCTCCCTTCCAATGCAGGCAGACCTTTGT